TTTTTAAAATTTAAAATGGTTAAAAATATATATTTTTGAAAAACTAATCGGTCGAAAGATACCCTGGGTGGTCGAAAGAACGAAGATAAAAACATAAACAAAATAGAAAAATATTGAAAATATCCGAAAAGCTAAGTCTGTGAATTCAGACCTTGTGTATATAATAAAACAGTTATTCCACTCACTCTCGTCGAATATGAGCGATAGCCGATTCGGCGCTACGCGCCTCATCGGCTATCAGCTCATATTCGACTCGAATAACTAAATGTTACAAGGTTGACGACACAAGGTTGTAACAATGCTGCTATATCATGACTGTATCGGACTTGTTGGAACAAAACAAGTCTGATAATATCAACAAGTTTAATAGTTTTGTTTGTGGAAACACCACGTAAATTTAAAGTTCTATTTTTACTGAAAAATCAGCCATTTTGTTACAAAAAATAGATTTTTTTCTCACTTTGAATCGCCATATCTTCGCGCTGCCTTGTTGTATTTTTAATGTTTTTACAGTTTTGAGATCCTTATAGAACAATCTCTTCAAGAAAGTTGCTAGCATGTTCTTAGATCGTGTTTAATTTTTTGGCGCCAAAGTTGGCACGTCATTTTCCCGCCAAAATGTAACAAAATCGAAAAACAAAAAACATACGATTTTAGGAATGTTAAAGGTGATCTACAGTCCGATCTGCGCATGTGCACAAAGGAGCCCACTTTTTATGATACAAACAGGGTTCTTGAAAAGCCTGATTATTGTTTCTTGATCATTTATTATACTCTAGAAGCTTGAAAATATAAATAGTTGTCGAATAAAGCTCAATATTTTGGACACAAAAATGTAAACAAAGGCTTTGTTTACATACGGACTGTAGAGCACCTTTAAGTTCTATCCTGTGAGGGAGTTTCGTGATATTCCAAACTAACGACAGAAAGTTATATGTACGTGGCCAAATTTGCTGTCTTTTTTGCCCACCGTGTTGCCACTAATGACAATGATTGAATGAGAAAGTGAAGCCGGATTTCTCTTTACTCACAATTTCGATTTGTTTCCCAACAACAGGCTTGTTGAAACTTGTTGTGACAGGACAAAAATTGTTTGTTGTGGACAGGTTTGTCGTAGGTTAGATAACAAGCTTGCTGCAGACTTGACAAAAACAACGCGCGACAGGTCTGTTGGAACAAGTACAACTTGTTACACCGTGACTATGGTACAACTTGTTACAACTAGTTGTAACAAGTTGTACCATAGTCACGGTGTAACAAGTTGTACCATAGACATAGTCACGGTGTTTCTATGTTCCAGGTTGGCTGATATTTTCGAAAAGCATTTGTGAGTTTTTGTCAGTGGTTAGAAGAGCAGGAGTAACTCCTTATATTGTATTTGATGGACTTCCATTGCCTGCAAAAGCGAGTGAAGTCGAGAAAAGGCAGAGGTGATTGAAGCAACTTAGCAACGTTTGCAATCAAGATTTTACTTTTACATACTGTATTATTATTATATTCACATTTTATGATCTGACAGATAAATATTTTCCCTAACAGAGGCCGAAAAGAATGTTTGCTGAAAGCAGAAAGAGAAGGAATTACTTCCCAAGAGGCCAATAAACTGTTTCAATCTCTTTCGATGATATATTTCAACTTGTGTAAACGTGAGTTCCTTATATTATCAGCCTATTTTAACTATAATTTTAATATTGAAATAAATTTTAATATACAACATGTGGAATAAATTTACTATAGCTAAGTACAGTAGGGCTCAAGAGGCCGTCTATTTATCAAATCTGTTTAGATTTGTTTAAAAGAAAATGTGTCATATGTTGTCTCGCCCTATGAATCTGATGCACAAATGGCCTTTTTGCTTGAGACAAATGTTGCAGATTTTGCTATTACAGAAGACTCTGATCTTTTAGCTTATGGCTGCAAAGAGGTTTGTTTATTTTATTTGGTATAAAAATTCCCCAAGGGAATTGGTCATTTAATTTGGACCCGATTTGAGGATTCGACATATTGCTAACCCTTCTTAACAGAGGTATCTGACCCTCGGAATGGTGCATTTTTACCTTTTGTTATATACAAACGCTTTGTTGCTTCGATCGAATATAGCGAATGACAAATAGAAAAGTCATACCGAAAAATGTTACTAGTGTGAACGTTTTTATTTTATTTGTCCTAATCATTTTTATCGTTTATAATGTGCAGTGGTGCCTAAATTACTTTGAATTTGTACTCGAGTAAAAGTAGAAGTAATAGTAACAATAAAACGACTTGAGTAAGAGTAAAAAGTACTGGAAGCAAAACGTACTTAAGTAAAAAGTACAAAGTATCCTTAAAAAATACTTGAAGTTCAAAGTAAAAGTAAAAGTACTATTGTCTGCAGCCTGTAGAGGGAGAGTGGAACTTCTCCAATGGGTTAACATACAAAAGACACAAAACAACACACGCATTATATGCGTGCACCGAATATACAATATTTCACGGCATGGTCTACTTTCCAGACCCTGTTGAAAATAGAAGAAATCCATTAAATAAATAATGCTTATAAGTAAGTCACAAACGAGAGATCCCAGACGCATGTAGAGGTCTTATTACCCATCCCGAAATTAAAATAAATCTGAAATAGATCACATAAAATTAAACAAAAGTTAGAAAGTAACGAAATACTTCGCCACAAAATGAAAATAACGAAGTAAAACGTTACTTTTTAAAATGACTTCGTTCCAAGTAAAAGTATTCCAGAAAAAGTTTACTTTGTTACATGCTCACTTCTCAAAAATAGTACTCAAGTACAGTAACGAAGTACATTTACTTCGTTACTTGACACCACTGATAATGTGCATATAATAATAATCCCCGATAATCACCAAGCCTGAGGTGAATATGTTTTAGTATTTTTAACCAAGTCTTTTGTGTTTTTTTGGGACTGAATATATTTTAATTTCGCTTATTTCTTTATCAGTAACTTCCACAAATCGCTGGGTTGATTGCAAAAAATCTTGCTGGAAAAATTACAAGTGTAAGCGGACCTTAATTAAGGATTTCATGCAGTTTACCGATATTAATCTAAGGAATTATTGGGCTTGGCAATGATAGCACTTGCTACGCCGAGTCACATCACATGTGCCGGCTTTTGAGATAATGGGCTTAAAAATACTTTTTCATACCTTCTTCGACTTCACTTTTTCAGAAAATTCCTTAATATTTAACAAGTTCTGCAATTCCAGCATTCCGGGGCCCCCTCTGGACAAGTTGGGCCCCCAGTTTTTGACTTTTCTTTGGGGGTGTTACACCCTCCTCTCACACACCCCAGTAGTTCCGGCCCTGCAGTCTGAATTAAATTCGACGGTAATGCGCAAATATGAAACAGGCCTATACTGCCCATTGCACATGACGTCACAGCGCCGGTGACGATGCATCTGGAGGACAAATTAGCAATCTATGCATAATATAACTTTTGTAAACAAAGCGAATTTTTTAAAAGTTTATAACTGAATTTTGTGTTAAAATTGTTAATTTTTGCGCTGTATGTGGTTGTTGTACCCGAACAGATACTGTTAGGTAGCATCTGGAGGACACTCTAAGGATTTGTGACGTCAGTGCAAAGGGTCTATACACTGCTATACAGGCGTGAATATTCTCCATAAATTTTGATTTCACTTACTCCCAGTTTGCAGGTGTCTTTGTGTCAGCCACGACGATAAGTTTCCATCCTTTAATCTTTGATAATTTTTTTACCTGATCTGTCGGAGGTGCCACTGAAGTTACAACAATCCACTTCGCGTAAATTTCGTTATTTTCTGGCTTTGGCTTCCTCTCAATCTTGGACCACATAACATCTTTTCTTAGTTCAGACGGCACAATAACGTTCTTTCCGGTTCTTTTAAACCATATAGTTTCATATAGTTTATCAAAATCATAGTAGGAAATCCATGCGTATATAACAGTTATTATAAATGCAACACCAATCGCCCATTTCGCACTGTATTTGCTCATAGGCCCCCTCATAGTAATTCTTGAAGTTCAACAGTCCACTTGATATTTCTTATTAGTATGAAGTACTAGATAATACTTGCACTGTTTATGTTGCTATAATGAATACAACCAACTGTTTGTAAATACCCGTAGTTGTTGGCCATTATATAGACATAATATAGCAAGTTAACAAGTCAAATCATAACAATATTGCTATAAACTCTTCTTTCAGTTATTTTTCAATCCTATTATCTTTCCAACTGGTCAAAAGAGCTGAAAATGATTTTGTTATAATACTTCAAATTAAACTAGCAAACACGTTGCTTCGCATATCAAGAAAGGGTCAAGAAAGTAAAACAGTCGGTGAAATTTTCATGGGGTACTGTGCCTCGTGGACAGTCAACGTGTTTTTTTTTGTGAAACCGACCACGTTTGTCGTTTGTTTATTGTACCAGGAACTGGTCCCCAATCGCTGCTAATCTTCTTCTTGTTGTTATTGTTGTTAGGGGGCGACGCTCTTTGAAAAAATCCATAAGGCTCCGTCATTACTTCCGCGGTCTGATCGGAATGAAATTTGACACAATTATTCTAAGCAATATTCCGCATCGATTGACGGTGTTCGATTTTTCATTTTTGACTTTAGAAGCAAGATACAAGCAAATGAAGCAATTTTTGACTGTATTCGTAGCTAGCCGCTGCGCAGGCTAATTCGTAGCAAATAATATGTACATATCATTAATATTCAGCAAATATTTCAGCAAACGCAAACGATAAGAAAGTATGAGGTGCCAAAAATGACAATATTGTATTACTAAAATATTTATGTCCAAATAAATATTTACGGTTACTTACACTAACTTATATAAGAACACCATTATTTACGGCTACCAAAAAATTATTTACGGCTACCAAAAAAAATGTTTACGGCTACGAAAAATATTTACGGCTACTGCGCCCATTTGTAAGGTCAGCGGTCACCTCTGCGCATGCTCTGCGATACTAACGGAATTGGCGGGAAACACTCGCTAGAAAAACTGGAAATGTTTTCAAGATGGCGTATCGAAGACCTACTGCCCCTACTGCTCGGTCTGACAATTTGGAAAATTTGGTAAGACAGGTTGTTAATCATCCCAGTTTCCAAGATGCTGTTAATAACAGTACTAGTCAGCGTGTGAATGAAAGTACTTCAAGCAGTAGCAGTGAATCTCATACTGATGGAAGTTGCGAACCTTCTGTCAGTTCTGTCGAGGGTTCTGCAACTTCTGTGCAGGCTGGACTGAATGTTGCGAGTTCTTCAAATCAGAACAGCGCCAGACGCACACCACGTGAGGAGCTTCAAGCATTGTTCCACAGAGGGACTTCTAATTTTCAGCAAAGCCTTCCTCAATTTCAGCGAAGAACTAGTTGGGGCCCCTCGCCCTCATCCAGATCCCGATCTGGAAGTCAGGGAAAGCTGAAGCCTTACACTAATACTAATACTAATAGCAGCAAGGGCAAGAACTCGAACAAAAAAACAACATTTGCCCGGGAAGTTGTGCTTCTTCGTCGTCCGTCAGATTCAATGGTTCGAGGTGGGGCTAAAGCGGAACTGCAGCGTTTGGGGCACGCTATAAGCTCATTTGAGTTTGATAAGTTATGGTCTGCTAATGAGGTGCAGGAAAAACTAGAAGAGGCATTCAAGAAGCCTCTGGAGAGTATTGACGGTGTTTTGGACAATCAGTCGAAGTAAGTACCTTAAATTTAAGCATAAATTGCATGAACACTTTGTC